CCAAAGAGACCAAGGCTTAGTAACACAAGAAGAACAACAGCTCAAGAACACTGCAGCAAGGCGCTTTCCTTCAACATCGCGCCGTTTTCAATTAAAATAACACCTCGGTTTCCATGGTTTTTAATTGAAATTTTTTATGACCGCGAATAATTGCAGCCGCGAATATATCCCGACCTACGGTATGCACAGTAGGACACTCTCTTTCTAATTATTATCTACTCTTGATGATAGCAATGAAAGTTCAGCTATGGTTAGATGGTTCAACCCATCCTTAGTCCTTAATTCAATAATATATAGTTATTAAGAATTTTAAGATGCCAGAACCTGTTCAGAGACAGAATATTGCTGAGAATGATGATGAAGTCCTCAATGACCTACCAATAGATGGGGAGGATGAACCAAATCCAATTATTGGATCACACTATGTCTTGGTGGCTGTGGTATTTTTGGTGATAGCTCTTACAATTGCCCTTGCTATTGGTCGCCCTATGTACACAAGAGACAGGCCTACAGAGCTTGATAGGTTAAGTAGTAAAATTGAGGAGTTGGAGAATAAAATTGATCTTATTTTAAAGAAAGAGAATATATCTCCACTATCTTGTAAAGACGTGAAGACAGCACATCCCAATAGACCAACAGGCTACTATGACACAAATGGTCACACTATGTACTGTAATATGGACCAGCTCTGTGGTTCAGGAGGAGGATGGACAAGGGTAGCATATCTGGATATGTCTGATGCTACACAGAACTGTCCCCCTGGGTTTACGTTGGATGCTACTGGAGGTACCAGAGCTTGTGGAAAGCCTCCGTCTACAAGTGGCAGTTGTGTGTCTGTTAAATTTCAATCTAATAATATTCAGTATTAAAAAGTTTGTGGCAAATTAGAGGGACACAAAAAGGGCACTCCTGATGCTTTTTTCAGATTTGACGATGAATATAGCAATGATATTGATTCTTCTTATGTTGATGGTGTCAGTATTACACGTGGATCCCCTCGTCAACATGTCTGGTCGTTTGCTGCATCCTCGGCAACAACTTTGCATGGTGGAGGCATCTTTAA